TTAGCTACAACAGTCCTGGTACAGACACCAGAGCTAACGTTAGCTACAACAGTCCTGGTACAGACACCAGAGTTAACGTTAGTTAAACTTTTTTTTCTTTACTTCTTTAGCTTCACTTGGTGTCTGTTTATGAGTTGCTTGTTATATTTCACATTGAATTTGATAAAATTGTGAATAATCCTGATTAATTATTAAAATGCTTTAATGGCTTACAAGCACTTTTTTCCATTGCCTTTTTACATGTGACATCAATGCTGTACCATCTATTCTTTTCAGTCAGAGTCGGTCTGTAGAATGTCTTCTGGAACTTTCTCCTGCACTACACCTCTCATCAATGACATTCCTTGAAAAAACCTTTGAAGAGTCAGTGGTGAGTAGATGTTACTAAAACAGATGATCTTTCAGACTCAGGTCATTACATTGTGGTATTAAACCGACAACCAACATTACTTTATCATGATTGGGGAATGAGAATGATGGTAGAAGATGTTTTCATTGACTGTATCAACAATGAGTTAGCATGTTCCCTATTACCACAACCCTAACACAGAGCAATAGATTTCAAGAGTCCGTCTCCAAAAACACTAGGCTATGCTAACCCTGTTCTGCAGCCTTTTTTCTTCTTGGGTTCTTGATAGTCCACGGTGGGTTGGTTCCTACCAACATTCAGCAGGTATCGGGTCACATAAATAGGTCGGTGTGATTTAAAGGGAAGCAGACGTTTGTATAAATATGTGATGAGGAGTGGATTGAATCGCATGATGAACGGAATCAGAGGAAGCAGTTCGTAGAGGAAACACTCTAGTTCTTGTTTACGAGATGCATTTATTCATGAATAATGCAACTACACTTTGAGTTTCTTTTGCATTCTAATCGTACACCGTGTAGTCGGTTGTTTCCCCTTGAATTCCACTCATCACAACAAGTCAAAGTATCTGGAGTCCCCAGAGATCCTCGGAGAACATCTGATATTCAGACAAAGAGCGACAGATGGTAGTTTTAAACCAAACATACTGTTGCTGTATTCATAAATGAAATCAGAATACAGTTACAGTCACAGTAAACTAGGTCTTTGGGGCCACAAGGTGGCAGAGTGGTTAGGGCTCAGGCTTTATAGTAAAAAAAAAGTCAGGAGTGTTATTCAGAGTTTTAAGACTGGGTTTTTACTACGTTGTTAATTTTTGCGAATGTTCTGGGTTCTATACTATTTCCTCACATTCCTGGTTAGCAATGATAGCATTGGTGGAAAAGTGTTTATTGGAATATTGTGAGAACTGTGAGAAGTGAGTCGACTGTTGTAGAAAGAATGGATGGATGGATAGATGGATCTGTGATATTTCATCTGGCCTGAATACTAAACCACTGACTTCAGAATAATGTTAACAACCAGGAGTGTAAATCCTCTGTCAGAGGTTCTGACACTGAAGACTGAAATAAATCCCAGCTGATCCCAGAGCAGTTTAGTAAGGAGAAAAGCTGAGGATAGATGTAAAGCTCTGGCAGTAGATCAGTGCTGGGTGATCAGACTGGAGGTCAATAAACACTGTGATCAGGAGATAAGATTGAAATCACTTAGCCACCTTCATTTCATTGGACGATTGACTCACGGTGTTGTAGCCACAGCTGGAAATAATGAGCTGGAAATGGACTCAGATCTTAATGTGACAGAATTTATACAAACACAAAAATATTAACATTTCTATCTGATAGAAGAAGATATTGTGCTGATAGGATTTTTTTTATATACATATATCACATTTAAAAATTAAATATAAAATATTGGGTTTTTTTCTTTTTATTTATTTCTTACACATTTAAAGTTAAAATTTTCTCCAGATTTATTTAATCCATTCTTTTGACTACATCTTCTAATTAGCCTACTGGTCATGTGACTCTGCAGCTGCATAAGTGACTCATTACTTTAAATGGAAACAGATTAAAATCAAAGACTTGACTGGTGATGTAGATGATGATGAAGACAGGGCTGTGGTGGAGTCGAGCAGTGGCTGAGAATAAATCGGAGCCAACAAGAAGCGACAGTGACTCCACTGGTATTTGCATGAGAAAAGAAAGAGAATGCTGCGTGAATCAACCTCTCGCTGACATCATCACAGTAATTAAACAGCCACTGATCATTTCTGTCACGTATAAACTGCTGCTGATTCCAAACAGCATTTTTAAATTTCCTCTGCACGTGTACTTCTCAACCTCTAGAAGAGTGAGAGGAGAAAATGATGGAGGAAAAATGTCAGAAAAAATTACTTTGAAGGACATTAATGCATTTTTTTTGTCATTTTGGTTTTTCACTGAATTGGGTTTTGCAAATTTGCGACGTTCCGCATTACAACAAAATTAATTATTTTAAGCAGGGACTGTGCAGTAAAAAAATGTCAGTGTTTTGTTTCAGCTTTGACCAACACAAGAAACTTTTTTTTTGACCCCATTGTCCTTCGCATTTTGTACAAACCTAGTGTCCTTGCAACTGGTTAGCATCTGTTCCCAGAATCAGAGTATGAGGAAAAGATGGCACAAGCCGTGTATATACACACACACACACACACACACACACACAAAGGCATATTATCTGCCACCAGCGACCCAAATGATTCAAACATGAGGGTTTAATCATTTACTAAACTATTTCTGGTTGAAAATCTTATTTTGTCCAAATTGTGAGTCTAACATGGGTCTTGATTTGAAGATGAAAGTACACATTTAAAAGACAGTTTCCAGGGGAATTATTATATTTAGAGGCATTTTTGTAGATATGTTTTTTTTAATGAAGGAATAATTGTTTGTCATTTTTGCTTTTTTTAGTCCAAATTATTGAAAAGATGGGACTTGATGAAAACATTTAGATTGTATGTGAATATGTTTTTTCGGGACATTTTTCATCATTCTTTAAATAGGTCACCGTGTAGTACGTCATCCAGGACATTTTCCTCCCCAAATACACATCAATGTTCTGATTATCTTTTGATTCCTGCGTGGATTACCAATCTTATTCTTGAAATCCTCTAACAGTAATTCCAGCAGAAAAACATATGTCTATACAAGAGCAAAAAAAAAAAAAACCTGCGTTTTTCAGCCGACGGCATAAAAGAGATAAAGTGATGAAAAATGAGGAAATAGTTTCTTTCATGTGTTGCTGCCACTGGGTAGGTAGATAAAAGCGAATCATTGAGAGCAAACACAGAGAAGAAGGTCGCACACACAGTGTTAAACGGCAGGAGCAGCAGCCGAGACAAAGACCATGACAAACTGAAAAATAAAAAAAACAGCTTCAGGAAGAATTCACAGGCGACAGACAGCATTCAGAGTGATGAGAGTTTCAATATTATCTTACATACAACATAATATAAGAAAAACTTTACACACATTACACACAATCATTAGAATTCTTCATAAAGTACAAAAATGTTTCAAAAAATGTTACCTATGCAAAACAATTATCTTGATATTAATTATTTTAATTTCTGGTGCAAAGGTGCTTCACATGCTTAACACATTTGAAATAAATAATTGATAATATAAATGTATTTTAAAGTCTGATGTCCTTAAACTTAACAGAGCTGATCTGATGCCCCACTCACCTCTGTTTTCCATCCAGACGGGATTTTCATTCTCACGACACTGAGACGCAGAGAAATTTAACTTTGGACAAAATAAAGGAAACCGTCGTCATTTCCATTTTTCTTTCTTTTTTATTTACTTCCATTTCTTCCATTTATCTTTAGTGATGAAAAAAATCCAGACTTCAGTGAGCTTAGGATATTAAGATCAGACGTGTTTCAGCCCTACACAAAGTTGCAAGTTTAGGAGAACAAAGTCACAATCTTGCGAGAGCAAAGTAGTACGTTTAGGAGAACAAAATTGTAAGTTTACAAGATAAAAGTCTTACGTTTAGGAGATCAACGTCCTAGGTTTAGAAGAACAAAGTCCTAAGTTTAGGAGAACAAAGTCCTAAGTTTAGGTGATCAAAGTCTTATGTTTAGGAGATCAAAGTCTCAAGTTTAAGAGAACAAAATTCTAAGTTTAGAGAACAAAGTTGTTAGTTTAGGAGCGTTGTTTTCCATGATCTAAGGAAAACAAAGTCATAAGTTAATGAGCTCTTTTGTGCAGAGCTGAGAGTTATGGTTGGAGCAGCATTATATTAGTTAAAACCCCCAGAAACTCAGAATACGGACTTTGTCTACTGAAATAAACACAAAAAGTCTTTGAAAAACTCTTTTGGATATTTGTTAAAGGCTCAGTTTGTTTAACTTTTATGTAGTTTTATATTACATATTTATCTCACCATAAAGTCTCTCGTTTTTAATCATACCTAACTCAGTGACTTAGTCCAAACTATAAAATAATTAAGCATCTCAATAACTTTAAAGTTTCATAACTTCAGTAGCTTGGCTGTTGTTTTTACTGAATCTTGACTTTAAGGCAGCAGGAAAAGGAATTAGTACATTTACTTGGCCAGCTTCCATAAATTCTCCCATGATGCATCAGTGGGTCCAGACCCAGGATGTGTGTCATAAAAGAAATGGAAAGTATGTTCTGGACACCGCTGCTATTTTTATAACCACTCTAAAAAGTGACAACACTGCAGAGGCTTGACTGCCAAACTGGACTGGATCTGCTGCAGATCCTGGACATGAGTTCTCCAGTCTCACTGATAACCATGAGTCTGACAAAAGGACCGGGATCCATGTGGGAGGAAGGGGGATGCATGTGTAATGGCCAGTGATCAGAATTGGAGCGATGGGGAAGGAGGGGGATGGTGGTGAGGAAGGGGTCCAGGTAATTCATCTCTGTAATGACATTTAATCCACAGGGAGCAGCAGCAGCAGAAGAAGAAGAACAACGAGATGCAGCGTCTCATTACATCACATGACTCCACCAGGCCTCCACCTGTGATTCTGTAGACTGACTTCATATCTTAAATGGGATGTCAAGGACACCGGGCGACCTTGACACAGTCCAGCACATGTGACGAAGACAAGCGCGGAGAAGAAAATAAAAGCTCTTTCGTGTAGCTATAACAGCAGAGCACCTCCGGCTGGATTATAGGATTAAATTTAGGGATGGGCAGGAGTAGGGTGGAGGGGTGAGTCTCAGTACTGACCAGTGTAGCTTTTATAATTACAGCCTGAGAGGTGCTGCTGCTGCTGCTCCATCAGTGCTGACCGCACATTTTAAATCATATATAATTTCTCATCTTCATCTTCTGTAAAGACTGTTCGACATCAACTTGACTTGAAGTTCAAATAAGGTCATTCCCTTTTCCTCTATGGTGTCAGCTCAGGTTTCATCGCAGCTCTTTACCTGACATATATATTTGGTTTGTTTTTAGCGAGATTACTTTATGACATGAAGGAAAGTCGTGTTCTTCATGCCATGGGTCGTTAATACTTAGAGTTTGACCCAAAACGTTGGAGTTCAACTTTGTAAAAGGGTAACCTTAAAACATTTACAAATTAAAAAAAAAACTACACAAACAAAAAAGAAACAGCTCAAGTTCTCCTGAACTTTTTTTAAACTTTGCCTGACCTGAATGTGATTTCCAGGCAGAAATGTGATTTTTTTTATTATTATTATTATTATTTTCGCTGACATTGAAGAAATGCTGCTTCAGCCTGAGGACTGTGATATTTAACCAGAAAAGAGAGAACGGGGGGGAGAAGAAAGTTCAGGAAACCTGTTTCCTATTTTCTGTCACTACAGCTTGAAAAGGCATGTTGTATGGATGCGTGAAGTACAGATTTCGCATGTCATGTTGGTCAGATGGTAAAAGAATTAGGATGAAAACGTTTGGAAAATAAAAATCAAAATGTTATCTATTCTGCATGTTTCTAATAAAATTAGAGCATTTTGAGAATTTTTTTCAAATTTTCTTTGATTTTGATATTTATTTAGAAAATTCTAATTTCACATGTGGTGTTGGTCAGACAGTGAAAAATTGGGATAAAAATGTTTGAAAAAAAATCAAAAGTGTATCTTTTCTGCATATGTTATAACAAATTAGAGCATTTTTCTTTTTTCTTTCATTTTTTCAGATTAGAGCATTTTGAGAAATATGTCCAAATGTATGGGGTTTTTTTTCTTTATATCCTTCATGTCATGCGACATGCAAAAAATAAAAAGAAATGCAGGTTTATACCACAAAACATGCTGCCAAGTGAATATTTTCTGCTAAAAACTCCAAAAACTATCATACCTGAACATGTAACAATATCACCAAAAAAGAGCAAGACTAGAATTCAAGTTTATGTCGCAAAACATGCTGCCAAATGAATAATTTGTGCTAAAAACTACAAAAAATATTTTAGACTATAGTCTTATAATCACGTAAAGATGCAAAAAAACAAAAAGTCTTGCTTGTTTTTGGTTGTATTTTGAAATATTCAAATAATATATTTCTTGGAGTTTTTAGCACAAATTATTCACTTGGCAGCATGTTTTGCGGCATAAACTTGCATTCTGAAGCATTTCTGGGACTTTTAATTTTTTTGCAGTTTTTTGTACTAGTAAGATTATAGTCTAGCTTGTTTATGGTGATATTTTGAAATATTCAGATAAAATATTTTTGGAAATTTTTATTACAAATTATTCACTTGACAGCATGTTTTGTGGCATAAACTTGCATTTTAAGGCATTTCTGGGACTTTATTTTTTGTATTTTCTGTGGTAGTTAGACTATAGTCTTGTTTTTGGTGATATTTTGAAATATTCAGATAAAATATTCTTGGTAGTTTTTAGCACAAATTATTCATTTGGCAGCATGTTTTGCGGCATAAACTTGCATTCTGAAGCATTTCTGGGACTTTATTTTTTGTATTTTTTTGTGATAGACTATAGTCTTGCTGGTTTTTGGTGGTATTTTGAAATATTCAGTTAAAATATTTTGGAAATTTTTATTACAAATTATTCACTTGACAGCATGGTTTGTGGCATAAACCTGCATTCTAAAGCATTTTTAGGACTTTATTTTTTGCATTTTTACGTGATAGTAAGACTATTGTCTTGCTTGTTTTTTTTGTGATTTTTGAAATACCGTATTCAGATAAAATATTCTTGGTAGTTTTTAGCACAAATTATTCACTTGACAGCATGTTTTGCGGCATAAACTTGTATTCTGAAGCATTTCTGGGACTTTTAAATTTTTTGCAGTTTTTCGTACTAGTAAGATTATAGTCTAGCTTGTTTATGGTGATATTTTTGAAATATTCCGATAAAATATTTTTGGTTTAGCATAAATTTTTCTGCGGCATGTTTTGTGGCATAAACTTGCATT